ATTGAAAATAAAATAATAAAAGCAACTCCAACTCAGTACATTTCATCATTCATAACAAAAACACAATTTACAGACTAAGAAGAAAGTTCACAACATCCTCCCCTTACAATAAAAGCTTAGCTACGCACGACCATAAGGAAATAGGAAAAAAGAAACAACAAAAACAATGAGTTCAATACTGAATGAGTATAATAGGGAAGTAGATGAAGCTGATTCCTTCAGCTCCAAGTGGGTTCTCTACTTTCAGAAGCTTCAGCGAATCTCCTCCTCTTCTTATCTTCTTCGAACAACCTTTGAGAGCTTTCTTGTGAGAGTGAAGTGATGTTAGGGAATGTTTGGAGACAACCTTAAATGTAAGTATGTATACCTTCATTGCTTTTAGGACAACAAAACAGATAAAGTGGGCCACATCTCTCACTTCCAAGTGATTCTCCGAGTTACTGTGGTAACTCCCAAAGTAAAGCTCTGTAACTGTCAGCTTTTGTCGTCTTCTGCTCCCTTCTGATTCCAATGCTGCAGCATCGATAATGTTGCAACAAAACACCCAAAGTCAGGGCATTTTTCCTATCTTTTAACGTTGTCAACAAAATAAAAAGGATAGTGAATTTATAACATTATTTGCACAAAAATCAGTGTAGATTGGGTGTTAGTGAGGCTATCCTTAGCTAATTTACATAAAATTTACACACAAACAAATCTCTTTTGGAGAGTTATCAATTGACAACAGGGTAGATTCATCAGTTCGGCCATGATAAGGAATCAATTGACAACAGGGTAGATCCATCAGTTCAGGTTCAACAATTGGGAGGCCATGATAAGGAAAAAAAAAAGAGTTCAGTTGGTTGTAAGGTGATAGCCTTCTTGTCAGACGGTTCAGCAAATTAATGAAGTCGCATAAGCGAAATGATGCAACAAAGTGGAAGACTACAGTCAGTGTTGAGGTCGAAGTTGAAATCTCTAGCTTGATAATGGACTTGAATGAGGACGTCAAGTCAACTTCTTTATTTTGGAGTCGTAGGGTGCGATTGAAGAAGGATCATTGGGATATATCACTTAGTTCAAGTGGGAGTACATGACTTTGTCTTTTACATATGGGAGACAAAACCACAAGGCAAGTACAAATGGAACCTTGGTTGTTGTAAAAAAGATGATAGAAGCAGCTGTTATAGTGGGAGTAGAACCTTAGTAGTTTACTAATATGATCGGCACTTCTGTTGTAATGGGAGGAGAGATAGTCGTTCTGTCTCCAAGTGGGAGATTATTGGGAATGTGGAGCCAAAACATGGGAGAATAAAGAATGAAAATATTTAGAGGAATGCTGCAGAAGCTCTGCTAGCCAAGAGCATACAGCGTCTCAACGCTGCACAAAATCGAAGAAAATGTGGAGACGCACTGCTGTGTATTGCATTGATATAAATGTGACTTTCTCATAACTGTGGAAAGGGAAAAATCCTAGTTAGACTTTGTTGGGTTGCTCGTGTTAGAGGACTAGGTGAATTGCACATTAGGCATATTTTTCGCAATAGGGTAGTGGTGATGGGCGGCGATTAGGAGGGGTTATATAAGAGATAGGGGGTGACAAGGTGGCATACTAGGGACATCTAATGGCCTATGATGATGAGGAAGGGAAGGGGTGAGCAAAAAATTACAAAACCGATTGGAGTGACTAAAATTGACTGAGTCGACGTCAATCATCCAACCTGACCACTAGTTTAGTTGCGATCAGTTTTTCTAGTACTAAAATCGATAATTCAATCGGTTAGTCTAATACTATAGTAGACCGTTGAGAAACCAATGTTGCACCAGTTGTTTAGTCGCAATAAGTTTTTTCTCTCTCTATTATTCTCAAAGTTTTATGTTCTCCACGGCGGTTCTTCTCCCTCTCTCTATTCTTTTCTATTTTCTGTCGGTGGCTCCTCTCTCTCAATTCTTCTCCATTCTCCAACAATAGCTCTTCTCTCCCATTCTCTTTTCTACCTCTACTCTTCTCTCATCTTCTCTCTTTTTCTTAGGTGTCTTTGTTAACGAATGTAAAATCTTTGTGCAAGTGTACACAATTGTGTAGCAAGTGATAAAATATCGAATCCATAAGGATTTATAACTAAGCACTTCAATGCTTACTCAAGAATAAGGAAAGGAAAAATAACAATTAATTGGGGTAAACTGCAGTTGTTTTGTAAATAAATTTTAGCATAAAAGGTTTGTCCTAAAACACTAAAAAATACAGAGGGAATCAGTCCGAAACACCAATCGCACAGAGAAAGTAAAGTAAACAAAGTGTGAAAGGTAGAGGGAGAGAGTTTATGTGAATTACTTTGAGTACAAGTAAACGATGCTCAAACAATAATGATGTTAGCAACACTGGCCAAACAAACGGGGAATCTTCCCATATTTCCCAGATTTTATTATATTCAGATTTAGTTCAGAACAACAACATTTTATTTTAGTTTTTAGCCATGTTAGGTGAGCCTTATTCCTAAATACCAACACTCTAAATTCGAATGTAGATCTAGCACAAGTTGAAGTTAAACACTCTCTATTACAATTTTCCAAAAGTTAATAAAGAGCTCATTCAGTATGGTGATCGAGCACCTTGAAATTTAACAACAATATGAACAAACTTCAACTCAGTAGCAACATCATTATAAACTAAAACAAAGCTCACAACTCAAGCGAGTTCACAACACCCTCCCCTACCATTAGTTTAGTTACTCATTGTCATAACAAAGAAAATGAAAGAAGAAAATATAAAACCCATGAACTAGAGAATACAAAAGAAGAAAAAAATGAAGAAAAACTACAGCGCTTCACTGTATCAGCTCCATTTGTTGTCATTTTTGGGTTTCTCTCCAAGTGTAAGAATCTTCCCTCCACTTTTGTCTTGTTATCTCTAGGGATTGATGAATAATGAATGGAGGCAGCCTTGAATGCAAGCTTGTATACCCCTCCTCAATTTTAGGACAACCAGATGGATAAAGTGGGGCCCAGCTAAAAAAATCAGGTGTTGCTCCATTTTTACTCCAATAATTCCTTAAGTAACAATCTGTCGCTTTCAGCTTTGACTTTTTCTGCTTTTGAATCTGATGCTACATCATCAACAATGCTACATCAAAACATTCAAAGTTAGAAATATTTTGTAAAAATCACATCATCATCTAACAATGTAAGGATTCTTGTAAATGTCACTAAACTAAGCATAAGATATTAGGCTTAGAGCTTCTTAATCAATATTTTTATACCCGACATTCTTTCTTGCACAAATAACTCTCTTTAGGAAAGTTATCACTCTTCTCTCTCTCAATTCTTCTCCGTTCTCCACCAGCAGCTCTTCTCTCCCGTTCTCTTTTCTGCCTTTATTCTGCTCTCATCTTCTCTCATCTTCTCTTTTTTTTCTTCGGTGTCTATTTTATCTAGAGTCGATTTCGACCAAAACTGATAGACCATTTATGTAGTTGGTTGGTCAGTGTTGCAAAATTGTCCAAAACCACCAAGCTCTGACTAAAAAAAAACTCAACTTGTTGATGGTTAATGTCAATTTGAGCTCAAAACCGACACCAACCGATCGATGAACACCCGGACACTCCTAAGGTAAGGGTTGGTGAGAGCGATGGTTGATGATTGAGGATGGTTGGTAAGAGAGAGCATAAAAATCATTTGTTTCCTTATTGTTTTGGTAATTTCAATTTTGGTTAATTTGGTTTCTATGCTTCTACAATTACTATTTTGGTCATTATAATGTCATTTTTTTTGTTTATTTTTTACCTGTGGTTTCAAAAATCTGTTTTAGTTCCTGTATTTTTTAAAAGTGACCATCTAGTCTATGTTTGCAAAATTTTAACACAAATTTTATACACAATGAAAACTCTTTTAATACAAACTAATGACTATATTTTAAGAAATTTAGTAATTAAGTACAAATATCGTGCTAAAATAAACAAAAGTTCGAAGTACATAGTCAAAAATTTGACATTTTGAACATACATAGACAAAAATGAACAAAAATAAAAAATAAATCGACCAAAATAGTATTTAAACCAAAATAATAATATTTTGTCACACCAATCATAAGATAGTTTTGTTATCCCAAGACGAAAAGGCAGAGCATTATTGAAATCTTAATGGTAGAAGTGTTCGATTTTGAAACCTATGAAACACGTATGAATGAAAACTAAACTCAAAACTTGACGACTAAAAGGCTTTTTTTTTCCAGAAATGTATATAAAATGGGACATTATTTTAAAGTTGAACAACATGGATCATTTACCTTACAAACATGTTTTTAATTACGTTCTTAAGCATAACTTACTTTATTAAGATTGATAAAGATATTTCTCCAATGTTAGAGATTTAAATCCTCACTCATATGCTATTCTAAAAAAAAAAGAAAAAATTTCTCACTCATGAACGAAAAAAGAAAAGTTATATTCTTAAAAGGAATTTCAATTTTACAATAGTGAGAATAATACCCCCTAAAACTTGAAAATATATGAAATTGGTAAGAAAAACCATCTAAACTCACCAAGAAACATTCAAACCTAGCTAAAAAGGACATCAAACACACTGCTAAAAAGGCTAATACCTATAAAAAGGTCTTGTCCACGACCCACAATAATATTCATAGCTAGTAGAACATTCACAATAATGTCATAGCTAGTAGTCACAAAATGTTCTTTTAATACAATAAAATTTGTCAAAATCACTTTCTTTTCTACCGATCATATTTGACAAATTAAAATAATTGATTTTTAGAAAGATTAAAAATCACTTAAAATTGATTTTCAAGGTATCACTTGGATAGTGATTTTAGAAAATCAATTACAGTTAAATCTCTTCTTTCAAAATCACTCATGCTACTATCACTTCCAAACATACCCTAATTTCACCACTTGTTCGATTTTTCCCATTGGTTTTAATTGACGACAAAAAAAAAACCAAGAATCCATGCAAATTTCAAAATTTGTATATTTTAAATGATTTTTGAATGGTTATATATTATATAGTACAAGGGTTTCAAATGAACTAGGAGCTGGAAATCCAGAGGCAGCAAAAGTGGCAGTGAAGGTAGTGGGAGCTCTTGGCATCATAGAATCAATAATTGTGAGTGTGATTCTCTTTGGATGTCGCAATATATTGGGCTATGCCTTCACCAATGACACCCAAATTGCCAACCACATTGCCTCCATGTTGCCTCTGATTTGCCTTTCCATTCTCACGGATTGTTTCCTCGGTGTCCTTTCAGGTTAGGCATTTCAATTATCGAGTCACAAATTTGATCCCTATAGTTTAGATTATTCCATTTTAATTTAGTTCTTATTAAGATTGTAAATCAAGTCAGGTCGATTTTAAAAGCAAATGTAGGATGAAATTGGTTTGGTTTTTTTGGAGAATAAAATCGGTCGGGTCTGTCTTTTGGTTTGTTTGGTTCGATTCGTTTAATGATTTTTGGTCAGGTTTCTCAATTTTGTCCTAAATTAATGTTTTTGGTTGATGAGGCGTTCGATTAGATTAAGATTGAGAATCAAACCAGTTTGAGTTATCAGTTAGGTTAAGTTTGATTACACTCCTAGTTGTTATAGTTTTAAAAGTTTTGATTGGTTCCATAATGTTTGGTCAAACTTGATCATAAGTTACATCATTGTCATTTCAAGTCATTACTATATTTAATACATGAGATCCTTTTATTTATGACAATATGTTGGTGTTTTATATTTGAGTGATCATATTAGCTAACTATAAGGCTTAAAGCTAAGAAAAACATAAAGGGAAAATAGTGGATTTCATGTAAGAAACATAGTTTATAGAAGATTTATCAGATTTTTAAGTTATAGGGATCAGATTTAAACTTTTAAAAATAAAAGTTAGAATATTATTTTGGTCCCTGTGGTTCCAATCTTAGTTCGTTTTTATCCTTATATTTTCAAAATGGTCATTTTAGTCTCTCTACTTTCTAACTTGGTTCATTTTAATCCATGTACTTTCAAAATTTTCATTTGGTCCATGTATGTTTAGAAAGTAATCATTTTAATCCATATTTGTAAAATTTTAAAATAAATTTTTTACCTAATGAAATCCCTTTAATATATAGTAATGGTTACATTTTAAGAAATCTATTAAGTGTAGTGTCAGTCAAAATTGTGATTGAGAAAATAAAATGAATTGATCAAAATAGAAACTTTTTAAAAGTATGGGGACTAAAATGAACATTTTAAATATACTTAGACTAAAACAAATCAAAATTAAAAGTATAGCAGTCAAACTAAACATTTTAAAAATATAAAGATCAAAACTTACCGGGACCAAAATAGTATTTTAATGCAAACTTGAAATCAAACTCAAGTAAAATATTGATTAGTTAAGCCAAAATTTCTCTAGTGTGTCCATAATAGTGTTAATAGGAGTGATCAAATAAAAGCGTTTAAGAATGTAATTAAAACTTACCAATTCAAGTTCTAGATATTAAAGTTATATTTAACTTTTATATTCTTAATTTATCTATGTAATTTCTAAAAGGAAGAAAAGAGAAAGGTATACACTGATTTTAGATGGTTAAAATTGTTCTATTTTTTTTCTTTTTTTTTCAAATCTGTAATGTTTGGTAACAAATAAAAATCACTTTAAAAAATTAGATTTTAAAGACATCTGAAAGTCAGTTGATTTTCCAAAAAGTAATTTTAAAGTGGTTTCGTAAACATTACTTTATGATAATCTGATAGGATTAGTTTTATTAAATATAGTACAACTAAATAAACTTGTAATTAAACTCACTCTAACTAAACACAAATATTTTTAATTGTGAAACCACTTTCATTTAAAGTATTTTAAGATGGTTTAAACTAAAAGGTACCATACTCACATTTTAGGGGTTGCCAGAGGCACGGGATGGCAGAGATTAGGAGCATATGTGAATTTGGGATCATATTATATATTTGGGATTCCAATGGCAGCTGTTTTGGCTTTTGTGGCACATTTGAGAGTCAAAGGGCTGTGGATTGGCTTAGTCGCAGGAGCAACCCTTCAAAGCATTGTGTTTGCTCTCATTACCATTTTTACTGATTGGCAGAAACAGGTTCTTCTTTACTACTTCCCAATTTTGCTAATAGACAGTGCTAAATTATTCAAAATGTTGCTAAATTTTGAGGTTACATTCAATTATACATTGTTTAGAAAGTTTCAATTCTTGATTGATGTCCTTGAAATTGATTCAAATATGCATCTACAAAAATTTACCATTATAGGAGTGATGCAATGATACAACTATTGAGTTGTAAACAGAGCAGTGGTACACATGACTTTTTAAAAATTAACATGACAAGTATGGATAACCCTTAGACAATCACTATTCAGTATTGTGGGAGTGGTTAGGTTATTAGTACTTGTCACGTTGTCGTTTATTTTTTAAAAGTCACTACAGCTATTGTTGTATTTACAACTTAGCAACCATGTTCGTTTCTCTCACTTGTTTTAATGGTAAGGTTGTTCATGGATATATTGAACTAATTTTGAAAATCAATTGTATAAGTGAAAATTTTTAAATGATAAAGCTAGTATTGAAACTAATCTCTATTTTGAATAATATACCTTGAGTTTAATTATCCCCTTTTAATGGTCGTTATATATGATATTTTATTAATGTTGGGAAATTAGGTGCTCCTAACAATCGCACAATACAAAAGAGATATAGGGAAAGGAATAAACGGCACAATAGATTTATACTGGTTCACCCCAACGATCTTTGGGTTGCGTCTAGTATTCCGCTCAGATGTGGGTACCACTATAATATGAGATTGGATTACAAACCACTCTCAAATATATCTTCGCACAGATATTCGCTCTCTAGAGGTCCCAACAAAAATTCTCTACCTTCTAAGTATTTAACCCCAATAATACTTGGGTACAGGAATGAAAACTCACAGAATAATCGAGAATTAATTATCCCAGAATGTCGATCTCAATATGCCCTCTCTGTGCTGCCAACACCGGATTTGTTGCCACAAATATGCTTGCCAAAATCCTTATCAAAATCGGCTGCTCAAACACCCAATTCACGGCTCAACCTAAAACGAAGTCAAAAACCCATTTTATAAAACGTTGTAGTATTGAGATGCTGGGCGTAGCGTCTCAACACTACAGAGATACCAGAGTCCTTACAAAAATTAGCGCGGGCCTTTTTTTTCATTTTCACGTTATAGCGCTGTCCTCTAGGCCAGAAGGCCTCTGCAACGCCCCTATGCCATTTTTCATTCCTTCGATGTCCCGACGTGATCCTAGCTCTACTCGATTCAATCCTAGCTCGTTCCAACRTCGATTTGGCTCCACTAATCCCAACAATTAACTTTACGTAAAATACACTTTTAGTTTATGAAGTTTGAGTTTGATGTTTATTTGGTCTATGAGATTTTAAAAGAGAAATTTTAGTCTTCAAATTTGAAAAATATTCTATGTAATTTATGAGTTAAGTTGTCCATTAGTTGACTAAGGAAAAATGACCTGACATTTTGGGAATGACAATTTTAAAATTGTTAATGCCGATTTCTGGACATGCGCCACAACTGCCGCATAGGTGCCACAAACGTCTTCGTCTCTCAACTCTTGATTACCTGCCCACATAAATCTAGCACTGATGTGATGCTTACTTAATGCATTTCGATRCTCAAGTTAAAACTCAAGTTGGGAGCAAATGGGTATGAAGCAAATAAAGTAGAAGGGCAATATGAGAGTGTAGGCTGAATTCTCACAAAGAGTTTTGTACCAAAAGATGACTTCCCTCAATGCTCTTTTTTTTATATATATATAAATTGAGATAGAGGGAGTGCGTTCAAATGTGAGAGGTATACACAGGGAGGCCACATGCTGAGCCTGAGATTCGTGGGGACCACCGCCATCTTCTTTCTCATTTTGTGTTGCGGATGGGAGGCATAATGGCGCCGTGGGAAATCCTTTAAGTTGCATTGCGGTTTGGGTATAGGATGTCAGCACATTGCCTGTTGTCTGTCTAACTAAAGGATGCCTAGATGTGCTTGGGATTAGGCACTGTGTACTTAATATTTAATGGTTCTTATAACACGTGGTTGAACGAGACTTACGACACAGTGGTCGAATAAGACTTTCAACACGTGGCACCTCGATTTTACCTGATAATAAAAATGATGTGGCAGCTTTTATTAATATTTTATTAGTTTTTGCTTATGTGATTTTTTTTCCTTCTCTTCCTAGCCCTATCCTTCTCTACCTTCCTTTCACCTTCCCGTTGAGAAAATTACTTACCATGCAAATTTTCCCTTTCCACAGTTCTTCAGTGAAAAATGCAATCTAACCACAATAATAAGAGAAAATAAGAAAAGTATAGAAACGATACAAGAGATTTATACTAGTTCATGAAACCATGGACTACGTCAAGTCTTCCGCGATGTGCGGGTTCAACTATGATTTTGGGATAATACAATGGGTCTCACAAATGCTCTAGAAAGATCTCTTTCGATGTCACAATAATGGCCACCTAACTTCTAAACACTTCACTAGTAGGTACTTAGGAATATAGAATGAAAAACGACACGATAGTTACGAAAACGGTTGCCGACAATGCACTATAGTCTAAAATTCTCCTCTCCTACTCTTTGCCAAAAAGCCAGTTTTTCTTTTGCCAATTTTAATCTCACGGGTAAAGGCTCTATATGTATATGTGCAAATAAAGGTGGTGGTGGCTCGCTATTCCTAATGAGGAAGAAATTAGGTTTGGGCCTATCTTGGTTTCATTTGGCCAAATAACTACAATATTTTATTTATAAGTTTTGTCTCCATGTTATCCCAACAATCTCCCACATGGAGACGAAACGACAATTCTGCCTTCCACTGCAATAACAGTGTCCCTCATAATTCTGTTCTGACTACACTAATACCTTCTAATTGATCAACATCATCTTGTCACCAACTAAAGCTCTATTAATATTCATGGGGTTTCATCTCAAAACCAATTTGCAATGAGATGAGTAACTCATGTCTACTACAAACCATTGTAAGACCCATTTTCTTTTCAATATGGGATCCTTAAGAGACTCTACTCGAACTACTCCAACAGCTTCTACTTCCTTCTTGGCATAAACCAAGGTTCCATCTGTGATTGCCCTGAGACTGAGCAATCATACCTGGTTTTATCTCCCAAATGTAAGATACATAACCACATACTCCTACTCGAACTAAGCAAACCCCCATGTCTCCCTCTTCGATCGCGCTTAACGACTCCTTAAGGAAAGCTTCTTCAATAATGATTTGAGCAACCTACCCAAGTCTGTTGCCAAGCTAGAGACTTCACATTTGACCTCAGTGCCAACTATAGTCATTCTATGTATGGGATTTTGGATTTAAAATAAATGATAGAGCACAAGTGTACACCCGTCACAAGTAGTAAAACAGAATGAGTATTCCGAGCATTGATCCTCAGGGACAAATGAAGCCTTTTTAATAAAAATGATGTTGATTGGCGACTTTTGCAACTTTTTTTGGTAAAAAGTATCAAGGATAATGTTGATTTTGGTATTTTAAGACTTAATGCAATAAACTCAGCCCAGTTACTTTGAATTAGCTAAAAATACACCAAATACTTCCAACTAGGCGCCAGACGCCTCTCTATATTTTTCATCGGTTCAGCTTCGCCATCTTCCTAAGTGATTTTTAAGGTATAAGTTCATCCCTAATATGTCTATTAGAAAATTGAACTTAATTTAATAAAAACCAACTGTAACCTTAGGTCGAGGTCCTATGGCTAGGCTACTTGAGCGAAATCTTTATGTCTAAAGTATTTCTCTCCAATGTTAAGAATCATTAAAGTTGTAAAAATATATCAATCTTTTCAGAATTGATGTTTGGTTAAAACATTAATTGGCCAAATTAATTTCTAACTTTATAAACCAACCTTAAGTGATAAAAGAAGAGAAAAACACATTTTACCTTGTTGTATTTTTAAAAACTTTAGCTAATCATCCATAACTGGGCTTGGGAAAATAAATTTAGCTGATAACTTTAGAGAGAAAAAAAACAGAATTGAACGTTGTTATAAATGGAATACATGATGTAAGAAGAGTAAAATAAGAACAAGCTGTAATTAAGAAGTTTGTAACCTGAATGACCCTAATCCTTTCTCTTTCGAGATCTGTGGAGCAATACTCAATCGATTCCACAAATTTGTGTGATTACAAACTTAGTAGGGAGATGAATATGAATGATTTGCTGCAATTTTAATTTAATAAGATAAAAAACTTACCATTGAAGAGTAACAAGCTGAAAAACAAAGAATGAACTTTAAATAAACTAGTTTTAAAATAACAACAACTAAAGAGCTAAAGGAAAATGAAATAGGCTGAGTACACAAGAGTGTAAAAAGCTAAATTTGATCCCTTTGGATGATGAATGAAGTGAAGGATATGTTGTATTTATAGGGACTTCAAGTCGGTTAGGAAGTTGAGACTTTGGTGGGGAGCCATCATTTTAAAATATTTTAAAGTTGGTTTGTTGTTGAATTAGCCTTCTTCCATAGACTGGGAGAGACTTCTAAATATACCAAAACTCGCGTTTCATATTAAGGGCATTTTCTGAATTGGGCAAGGCGTCAGGTGCCAAGCTCGAATGTTTTACACAAAATCATAATTTCCATTAGAAATCAACTTTAAATTATGTAAAAATGTTCTATATGCATGTATAACCTAAAATAACTCCGAATGAAAGATTTTGGACACTGAAGTAAGCTTAAAATACAATTTTTGAGTGTAAAACGATAGAAAACAGCACCACATTAGTTTCTTTTTACCATTGTAAACAAGGGAAATCATTGTCCTTGATGCACTCTTTTGCCTATGCGACTTCATCCGCTCGCCAAATCGTCTGACAAATGGTGCCAAAATCCAACAATCTACTGAACAGCTATTCAGACTATTCTTCTTCTTATTTTCTCTACTTCCTAGCAGTTGAACTTGAACTGATGGCATATTCTCCTCATCTGTTTTGGCTATCAGTGCTTCTAGTTTTATCATGTCTCCCTTTGAACCATCGGCAGCTTTGTGCATAACCTCTCTCTCTGATCCTTTGGCAATGCTAAACCTCGACACATAAACTGCAGCTTCTATGTGGCCAACAGGCACTACCTTGGATCCCCTTATGAGCTTCCACGTGTTCCACAAAAACTCGCTTCTATAGCTTTCGTCATTCAACTTCCCTGCAAATATTAGATTCATTCTAAAAACTAGGTACATATCTGACATCAAGTAAAACTAAGTCAGTCCCACTATTAGTCTTCAAATGAACATCCCCAATGCTTTTGATTGGAGAGTCTCCCATTTCTTATCCTCACCATGCCAAGATTGTCTGCAGTGAAGGATGTGAACCAATTCCCATATGAAGATACGTGCACCAAGGGTGCACTGTCCACTACACATTCCTATATCAACGCATGCTAACAACATGTCATCTAACAAAACATTTGTAGAGATTTCCTTTTTTTAATCCTCTTTGAGCTTCCTACAGTGTCTCTTGAAGTGACCTTTCTTATGGCAATAAAATCATTCAATCTCGCCACTCCCACTCCTGTGGCAATGTCTCTACTGTTTACCATAATCCATCTTCCATTTGCCTCTGTCTTAACTGCCAATGCTAATTCCACAAATTTCTCCATACTAGAAGTGGAAGCAGACTTGTTTTCATTTCCTTTCATGCGAATCTCGTCAGCAATTGCAGTGTCACGTATCTCTTAAAACTTTAAACTTCCATTACCTAACGAATTTGACACAACTGTCTTCATCATTTCCTATCTCTCAAGCAAAAAAGACAACAACTTTATAGCCTTCACTTCCTCTGAAAAAGTGATATCCATTGACTCCAACTGATTCATCAGTTTAGTCACATTGTTTATGTGAGAGTTCACCTAATGTGTCTTCCTCCATATGAATGTTGAAATATCTCATGATGAGATATACCTCGCTGTTAGCAAAGTATTTTCCATATTTGTCCGTCAGCGCCTTCATTAGTCCTATCATCATTGTTTGACTCGCTACGAACTTGTCACGTTCATCAATCGACAAGCACAATCAGATGATCATTACGACCTGCTCGTCCATCTCCAATCAATCCTTGTCTGTCATCCGAACTAGTCGTTCTTTTAGAGTTTTGTGCATCTTCTTATACGTGAGAAGATCTTTCACCTGTATACCATGAATCACTCTCTTCCCTAACCAATGTGGGACTTTGTTTGTACACCTTGCAACCCCAATAATCCTTCCCTCCAACTAAGTGTCATTTGTATCTTGCCTCGAATAGTCGTGCAATTCATCTACTTCCAGTAGGCAACGAGAGACCGCTTCTATACAATACGTCGAGATAGAACACTTGCTACACAGACCACATTGTGGGAACACTTGGAGTTGCTATTTTTTCGCCACCCCCTAATCTCCTCCGCTTAAACAAAGCTACACCATTATTCCTATCAGTTTACCCAACTTGATAAGCAAGACGTGCCCTATCAAGTCTATGCTTGGGTGACAAGCAAGATGTGTCATATCAAACAGAAGATAGAGGCATACACTTTTTAGATTGTTCTTAACATACATGTATTGTATTCTTTCCCATTATAAATAATTGGGGTGGGAGAGTATTTGAACTTGCCACTAGATTTTTTTTAATATTATTTTGGTCGTCGTACTTAAGATCTTTTGTTTATTTTGGTCCCTATGTTTTGAAAGCCTCCATTTTGGTTCATGAACTTTTTAGGTTTTGTCCATTTTAGTTAACATAATTTCAAAGCGTCTATTTTAGTCCCCAAAGTGATCATTTTTGTCCCTTTTTATTTTAATGAAATAGAATTTGTTAAAACATAGAAATTGTCATGTGGGCTACATGTTGAGGACTATCCCTTTTGTTCTCTTGAAGAAGCCAATTGGGAAAGTTAGAGAACCAATTCGTCCACGAGTTTGTGGAAACCACTTTAGAAGCTAAGACATGAGCTGGAAAGTTAGCCTTTCTAGAGATGTGTTCGCAACGAAAACTTCTAAAAAAAAAGAATAGCTCAAATGTCATCTATCCAAGTTAAATCTTCAATATTTTCAATGTCCCCATAAATCATCTCCAATACGAGCAAAGAATTCGATTCGATTACAATTTGGCTAAGATTTAGCTGTGACACAAGTTCGATGCCCTATAAAATTGCGAGTATCTCAGCTTGAAGAGGCAAATATGCTATGAGAAAAATCTTTGAGTGAGCAGCCACAATTCTTCCCTTGTGCAAATTGCTCCCGCTCCCATTCTATTCAACGACGACCGACAAACAGAATCAACATTTAAGTTAACCCACCAAATTGGAGGGACATTCCACCTACTATCAGGACCAATTCCCAAACTAGCGTGAGAGCCCTAGCCCTATCATTAGCTCGCGGCTCTCCTCTCGACAACTTTTCGAGGTGAGAAAAAATTCATACTTTTCGAGGCTGAGTGTTTGGGATTTGTTTCGGTATGCAATAGGAGTTTCAATCGTTCCATAGTGACCAGCTTACCACTCTAGCAACTTCCATTTCTTTTACAGTCAGAGAGATACATGAATCTAACTTGAATGTTATTTTGGAAGTTCTTCGAAATCAGAAGTGTTGGTAATGATAAATGTCAAAAATCTCTTGCTCACTTGCACTGGAAAAGGATGTGATCAGTGGTCTCGACAACCTTCATGGCAAAAAGGTACATTTTCTAACCCTCTCCTTCTTAAATTTCCTCTAGTTGAGAGACATTCGTTGTAAGCACACCAAATGCACATCTTGATTTTGTAAGGTAGTTTCAGCTTCCATAGTAATTTCCACCAATTTTCAGTTACACGTGGCTTGATAATCCTGGATGTCTCTTTTTATTCATAGAAAGATTTTACCCACTTTTGACACTGTAAAAGCCCTTCTTATCATAATGTCATCCAGAAATCTTCCACACCAGTCTTGCTTATAGGAATTTTAGAAATTATGTTGAAATCATCTTTGTTTAGGCATTCGCAAAGTTTGCTTTGATCCCATTCATGATTAGGATGGATGAAATCAACCACTTTTCAAAAATCGAACTCACTTCTAGGGGTAGATGGCATAAAGGTTTCTTCTTTTAGGAACCATATATCCTTCAAAAAACGAATAGGAGGACCATTTCTTACCTTCCTCCTCAAACCCAAATTCAAAGCTCTCTGCCCGAAAGCAAGCTTTTCCAAAGGTACGAATCGCTCATGTTTTCTAATGCTTCAAGGACTTAACACTCAAGAAAGTACTGCCTTTTTAGAATCCAAGATACCAACAAGTTGAGGTGGATGATGATGCACCACACTTGTTTAGAAAGAACAGTTTAATTAAAATCTTCCAAGTCTCTGAAATTTAAGTCACCAAATTCCTTAGGGAGACACTAAATCTCTCCTTTCTTCCAATGAATGATCATTTTTGTCATTTAATTTTCATGTTCATTTCATTTTTTCCAATCATATTTTTAGCAATAAATTTCTTGAAACTCAGCCATAATTTTACATTAAATGTTTCCGTTGTTTTCATTTTTTTTCCTATCTATTTTGCAAATATTAACCAAAATGGCCCTTTTTAAAAGCATCGGATTCAAAATAGATATTTTAAAATAATAGAGCCTAAAATAAAGAAAAATTAAAAATACAAGGACCTAGAAATTTATTTTAAAGGTAGAAGGACCAAAATAAACCAAAGTTGAAAGTACAAGACTAAAATTGTATTTAAATGCGAAAATTTTTTATTTTGCCATCTATAAATCATTGTCGTTTTATCATATAAATATATATAGTTGTCGTTTGAATGTCTGAATTTATATGGACCATGCAGGCATTAAAAGCAAGGGAAAGGGTACTTGAAGGAAATACCTGAAATATTTACTCCACATATGATGTGATCAGATTGGTCAAAGGACATAATTTTGTACTTGCAATTAAACCCTTAGAGTTTGATTCAATTATAAATGAACCACTTAGAGTGTAAAAGTACTTATTTATAGTCATGATTAAATTATTTAGAAAACATGCGAATCGTGATTAAATTGCTTACAAAACATGCCAACTTGGTTCAATGGGTTAAGACTCCTATATCTGACTAAAAAGATTTTGAGTCCGAATTATCACTCTCACATCTTGTACTAAGAAAAAATATATATACAAATCAAATGACCATAATGAAGAAATTGAACTTAAAGTTATACTATTACTATACATGGAACATCAAATCATAATTAGTGTTTGAAATTAAGTTTAAATATAATTTTATTATTATTTCGAACTTAAGTTGTATTATTACTATGGAACATCAAATCATAAAGATAGTGTTTGAAATTAAGTTTAAATATAATTTTATTATTATTTCATTTTTTGGTCCTTAGAAAATTCAAATTTTTCTAATAATCTCTCAAATTTAAAGTTTTTTTTTTTTTGTTTTAGTTTCTAAATTTTCATGAAGAGTCGTTTTTGTCTTCGTGTTCTATTTTTCATTAATCTACTACAAGAAATTGGATTTTTGCCCATGAGGTTTGGGTTGAGTAGCCCTTTTTCAAGGCATATTTTATTTATCACTTACTTTCGAAGATTTAAGTTTTAACTTTGGTGTCAAATTTTGTATTACACCTCTAAATCTTCTATCTTCTTTATTCACCACAAAAAACACACTTTATCATTTCTAAAAAAACACACACACACTTTATTTATCTTCTTTACTCCAAACAAAAATTTTTCATCTTTGTCCTCCATCAAGGGCCACCCCCTTCCGTCACACTTTCTCCCTCTTCTTTACTCACCAAACTACACTAAAATCTCTCATATTTATCTTCAATGAGCTGCCACCTCGTTCCCTTTTTGTTTTTTTTCCTTTGGAAACCAACCGCCCTTTTAGCCCTAGCTCCAGTCTCTCATTAGATCTCTCTAATTCTTGCCTCAGATCTCCTAGATCTCATGCAGGTTTTCTCTCATTCTCTCTCTTGCATTCTCGTTCTTGTTCTCGGTGCAGTCTCGCTCTCTTGACTTGAGATTTTCCATGTTCGGTGCTAGATTTGAAGTTTAGAAACAACTTGAACAATGATTGCAACCTCATAGCATTGGACGTGTGGAGTCCTCGTGTGTCATCAATGAAAAACAAAGAAGGAACGGGCACTGGTGATGATGCAAAAAAAAGGAATGGGTGAGAATGGTGATGACATCAATGAAAAAGAAAAATGAATGGGCGAGAATGGTGGGCAAGAAAAAGGGATTCAAAGATTTTTATTTTAAAATTATTAATGATCTTGATTTAAAAAAGAAAACCCCAGCCAAGGAACGATACGTATTTTTTTTTTCAAATTATTCATAATTTAAGGAAAAATTAAGGAAGAGAATCTAAGAGTCGACAACCAAAAAAGTAGAGAATCCAATGTTACGAATAATGATGATGGTAAGATGCTTAGTATTCTCAATGATTTACAATGCCCAGTTGTAGAAGTGGTTGTAGAAGAAAAATGTAGAAGGGGAACAGACGCCCCAAAGAGACATGTCTAACACTTTCGATTCAATGAAGCACGTAATAAATTGTATCCAGGTTGTACACACCATTTTCATCATTGAATTTTTTAACCCAGATGATGCATATTAGGGTCATTAACAATTGGAGTAATAAATTGTTTGATATGTTACTTGAGTTGTTCAAGGAATCATATGAGTCCATACATGCTACGAGGCTAAGAGGAAACTATACGTGATTTAAGACTTTCATATGAGTCCATACATGCTTGCTAGTATTACTGCATATTATTATGGAAAAGATGTTCTAAATGTTAAAGTTGTCCAATATGTGGTGAGTCTTGTTATAAAAAAAATCAATGGGAAAGCATCACAAGTCCCCAAAAAAATTTTACGACATTTTCCGTTGATACCAAGGTTGAAATGGTTCTTTTCATTAAAAAATTTTGCTTATGAAATGAGGTGGCACATAAAGATAAACGAGTTGAGATAGATGGTGTGTTACGACATCCAACTGACGTTTTGGGTGGAAGCATCTAGATAGCATATTTTCTCAATACGCTTCAAACCAACGAAATGTTCATTTGGGACTAGCTTCAGATAGGTTTAATCCATTTGAGTATATGAACAATTCGTACAGCATGTGGCCAGTGGTACTCGTTCCATACAATTTTGTCTCCTTCAAAGTGCATGAAGGAAACTAATTTATTAATGTCATTGCATATTTTGTTGGGTTTTGTGCCCTTAGCTCGTGTGTTTGTAATTAATAAACAATTTATTTATTCAACAAAGAGTTATTTCTTTACATTTCTCATATTCCAATAAACTAAGATCTAAGGTTATTTAATGTAACTGGAATATAATATATTTGATATCAAGTATATATTTAATTATACAATGTATATATTTGATATACAAGTGTATAATGTTCTAGTAATAACCTAAATGGCTTATAGTACATGGATAAGGTTGGGTACCTTATCCCAGTAACAATATGAATACAGCTGGCTTTGTAATAGTTACAAACAACTCTATCCAGTTCGTTCATGTGGGGTCATGTGAGTGGAGGTATCCTATACAATGTGTTTGTATAATATCCGACCGTAAAATAATTAATCTTTAATTATAACACGGTAAACTAACTAGATTAATATTTCATATGATGACCAGGTAACTCGATCTTAATCCTAATCGAGTTATGGACTCCTATTTATAAGGGATCGCGGGTAGCTGGGAACATAACTCACGATTAAATTCACTCATTCCCGACTTTAGGGTAAGTAGATTAATGTTCTCTTAAATGCTAACTCCAATACTTAAATAAGAGGCGCCACCCTCTTATTGGCTTGAGATGGACTTCTTTTTAATGGTTGGACCATAAACATGTTGTTCATTAGAGGAGCAGTGGTACTTAAGTTGAAAGAGGTAACTTAGGGGTAAAACGCTAATTTAACTCAGCTGAAGTTACGAACACTCGTTAGGATTGACTTGACATCAATGATCAATTTCCGTTGACACAAAATATTCTACCGTGAGAAGAGTGCAGTTGTGAGTCTTTAGTGGAGTGACACATAGTTAATAAAGGTTGATTAATATGGTTAATTAATTTAATCAATTAATCTCGTATCGTTGAAACTTATGATCTGTAGGTCCATTAGGTCCCCTTACTAGCTTACAACGGGTAAAATGAGGATCAAGATTTTTAAGGAATTTGAAATGTTCAAAATTGGGAATGTATAAAATGTATATTGATACATTATATAAATATTAATTTTGGATAAAGATTCAAAATTAATACTATATATTATGAGAGAAATATTTGAATAAGATTCAAATAATAATTAATAAAAATTGGATTCATATTAAAATTATAGGTTAAAATTAATGTGCATAAGATGTACATTAAATCAATAGATTATTCAAGAGAGATGCATTTGAATATGATTCAAATATATGGTTTTAATTAAATATGTGATGTTTAATTAAAAGTTAAATAATTAATTGTTAATTATTTATTTAATTAATATTTGGATTTAATTAATTAATTATTAATTAAAAATTTTAAATTAACTAATTATTAATGAGATTAATAATTCATAATTAAATTAATTAACTATTAATTAGATTAATAATTATTAATTTAATTAGCTAATTATTAAATAACTAAAGTAATTATTTTATTATTAATTAAATAAATTAAATTAAAAACAACTCCCCAACATTGTAGGGGAGTTAGGGAAGTTAATGTGCCGTGGGTAACTCCCTACGTCACCCTTGGTTAAGAGTGTAGAAACTTTCTGCACTTGCTGCTTCTTCCCCTGCATTACAAAACAAAATATCTCTCTAAAAAACCCTCTCAAACTCTCAATCCTTCTCGATTCCCAAAAACCGGTTCCTCGCTAGAGACATAGCAAGGAAGATGTCACTTGGGTTTCATGTGGAGAAAGCGTTCTTCAAAGGTAAGAAAACTTATTTTCTCTGTTTTGTTTTTTCTGTGTTTTTCAATTTCAAAAGGAAATTCAAGAACACGTTTTATTACTTCCGGTTAGGATTCACATCTCATCATATTCTTGGGCCAAAGTCTTCTGAAAAAAAAAATCGATGTTTACTTATAACCATTGATTGAAGAGTTGAAAGAGTTATGGGGTATTGGGGTTTGTACGTACGATTGTGCAAGTAGTGAGTACTTTCAACCATACGCAGCTCTTTTGTGTACTATTAATTATTTTCCAGCATATGGTGCCTTGTCTGGATGGAGTACCAAAGGATACTAAGCATGTCCTATTTGTAAAAAAGATAAGTCATCATTTTGTATAAGGAACAAAAATTCTTTTCATGGGACATTGATGTTATCTTTCAGAAAATCATAGTCGTTGGTGTGGGAGTAGACTACATAATAGGAAGTTATAACGACGATCTCCATCAGTAGTAATGGATGGAGACGCAATTCTTCAACAAGTAAATATGTTGAATTTTCTAAATTTTGGTAAGAATCCATCCAAACAAACTAAGAAAAGAAAGCGAGCTCTAAACCGGATGAAAAGAAATATGTTCTTTAAACTTCTCTATTGGTCGAAACTTATGTGAAGACGTGATGCGCGTCGAAAAGAATGTATGTGACAATCTAGTAGGAACTTTGTTAAATATTGAGGGGATAACAAAAAACACGATCAATGCTTGTTTGGATTTAGAAGATTTAAAGATTCAGAGAAATTTACACTTGCAAAAACAGGGGAATAAAGTTGTAAAATCAAATGTTACGTATACATTGATTGCTACTGAGAGGGTGAAGTTCTGCAAATTTTTAAAATCGGCTAAGTCTCCAGATGGATTTATGCCAAGCATATCTAGACGTGTGAGTGTAGAGGATGGAAAACTATGAGGGTTGAAAACTCATGACTGTTATGTTTTGCTACAATGACCCCTACATGTTGCCATTCGAGCTCACATACCAAAGTTTGTAGGTACGACTACCAT